CGAGATTCTCGACCTCTCCCTCCTCCTTGCCAATGGCAGCCTGACCTTCTGTTTCGATAGTCCAGATTCGACGTCATTTGCGCCGGTCAAGCAGGTAGATTTACTTGCTCTTTAGTGGTATTTTCGTTCGATGTATGGGGGTGCTTTTTCGTTTCACATTTACTGACAGTATTTTTAATTGTTGTTGTTGTCAAGATCAAAGTTCAGAACGGCTTCTGCGCCTCCGTGGATTCAAGTGGTGGTCTTGAGATTCGCACAGCCCCTAGCGCCCCCTTCATGACCTCACCGGTCACAGCGAAGTCACCTCCCAGTACTCTTCCCAGAAGACCCCCACCGCCAGCCTACTACGTCCGTACCAAATCAACTCCCTCTCCTCCGAGCCTTTCTCGATCGAGTACTCTGAGCGAGAGTCAGTCGACCCATCCCAATTCGCTAGCAGCAGAAAATGCTGAGTTGAAAAAGACGGTTCGTCAGCGGCGTACTGTTTTTTTTTCTCTCGCGATTTCCGTTTCTCTGCCTACCTACCTGCGCACCTTCATTTTTGCATGATGATAAAACGTGCGTTGCAAGACATATGATCACCCCCTGCCCTCCAGTTTATACGGGCAACCTTGATAAAAGCTTATCGAAAAGGGAAAGATTCACTTTTTCTAAGAATAACCTCATTCTTCCTGGAAATAAGTGACAGGTCCCCGAAATTCGGAGGGCCACATTCCCGTGTCCTGCTAGTATGGTTTACAACCGTAATGTTTGGATATATTCGTACGGTGTAATTTTGACCCCCTTTGCTGCGGTTTGGAGAGATTTGCGAAACTCGGACATTAAGGAAGCTCTCGTCTTCCGTTTGGCCTAGATAAATACGTTCTTTTGGAAAGCAAAGTAACTTCCTTGGGTGATTTTCGGTCCTACTGGAAGTTTAACTTCAAAATAGGGCCTATTTATCTCTTTCATCGTCAGACGCGAATAAATGTGCGAGGAGCAATTTAAATTTCAAAGTGCTGGAAAAATCGATATTTTTCTGGTGTGACACGTATCCACGAACATCAGCTAGCAGTGAAGTGGTGTGATCATCTGTTCCAAATGGCCGTGCACAGCCTTGCTACAGGACACACCTTCGAATGGGACAAAACTCGCATAGTCGAGAATTTGCTGCGATCATGCTCTCCGATGACTCATGCATCAACCGGCATGTTGAGTTAGGTGCCATGTACAAAACTTTCAAAGAATTATGCGAGAGCTGCGAGGCAGCCGCTGATAATCGTTCACACCAAACGGATATCCATTTTCCCAGCACTTTGAAATTTTAATTGTTCTTTGCACATTTACTTACGTCTCACTACGATTTTGGGGGCCAGCGTCGGAAATTTAATCAATGAATTTTCTTTATTTTCCCAAAGGACCTATGTACGTTCAAGCTTTACCAACCCAATTTTTCGCTAAGCCGACTAAACTTGCGTGGTATTTACTAGTCTAAATTTTATTCAAGTGAAATGGCTTACTCCCGTCCCCTTAAGCTAACAGATAGTCTTAAAGATGCAATGCCCAGTCGCTTTCTCCTACGCAGTGAAGCCTTATCGCGTGGTGCTTGATACCGTTCATTTTCTTTGATCGGGTCCTGCTACGTTATCAGGCGCATAATCGAACCTGCCGTGTGTGTTTTCTTCTTTTTATCTTGGTCGCTCTTTTCCAGGCCCTCCATTGGTCCTAAAATAAATTTCCCCGTCATTTCTTTGTTTCTGCATGCTAAATACAAGCGCAAAACGCACAAGTCGAGGTCAGCCGTGGTACTTACTGTTCTCAGTCATAAATATTTATTTACACAACAGACCATCTACTTAAAACATTTTAGTGGCACTAATATGTCGGTGTGTGTAGGGGCTCGTGGGCTGCATCTAGAGCGAGTACCATGTGTGCAGGGTAACGGAAGAAGTATGGGGTTTGGTCAACTGAATACGATGGACAGACAGCTTAAAGTACGTGCGCACGCCCCATCA